ATTCTATATTTAATGAAACATTGAGTTATTTATTTTTGAGAAGATGTTGTCATGTTGTAGTTGAGAATTGATTATCACCATTAATATTTTGAATAATTTCTTCCAAGATACCAAATACATGTTTTCAAGCTTTCCGGCAATTCCTATAATTCAAATGTCAAATAGTTCATTTGAAATCGTCGAGTTAGACATGTGAACTGTTGAATTCGACATTTAGAAACTGTCAAGATAGACAATTTAACTGTCGAATTGGACACTTGAAAACTATTGAAACCCTTGATTTTACCTTTTGCTACTGTATGGATTGAAATATTCGAAAGTTCCACCTTCATATTATTAAATATTGACATATTTATTGTGCGGAATTCTTAACGTTTCAATCCCAAAATTTCAGGTACGAGTAATTATTTGAGATTCATCGTGTCGCAGGGGGAAAAGTTGGTTCATGTGGATGACGAATGGAAGTGGAGAGTGGACAAAACTACTTCCCTATTAGTGCCGATCCAGATACGATGCATAAGGGACATGCTGTTGCTGACTGTTTGGTAAAGACCGTTACCAAAATCATCTCTGACAAAACAAAACAAAAGAACTACACACGTATTTCTTTGTATACAACCATATGCAATTACCGCCCACCTCATTCGTTGTCGACGTTTAATCTTTCTTCCCCACTTTCTTCATCAGAATCATCCGAGCTTATCACTATTAGCTTAGGAGTTGCACCATTTGTCAACCACTCATCGTCATCAGATTCATCTTCGCACCGAACCATAACTGGAACCCCTCATCGACCACACTCTTTGGTGACTGCGATGCTTCATTTGCAACTTCGTCAAGGTTAGGAAAAGGAAGAGCGAAAATGGCTCTCCTACCATTTCGAGGGTTGACTTCCTATCGTCCGACGAAATTATAATGGGAAATAATGGGGACAAACCGGGTATTGGAAGATGTTCATTCGGAATTTCACAGCCACATCTTACCACCCATATTTTGCTTGTGTTTGTGCTTTAGTAAGGAAAACTTTGGCACATCGCTCTGTAAACTCCATCTCTTTCTGTCTTAGATCGTACATTAAGGAATCAATTTGATGCTTCCTTTTATGCAGCTTTGAAGCTAACTCTTGGTTGAAGCGGGCTTGTATGCAGGGCCAAGGGTTAAATTTTGGGGTTTGAATGAGAGAGAGACAGATTGAGTGGTGATTTTAGTTTTTAGTTTTTCATTTTTTTTCAAAATTCTAAAGTACTGCGGTGCATTAATTGGATGTGATATTTTTTTCACTTTTTGGTCAAATTTTTTTGTCTAATCACATCACATTTAATTAAGGATATGCAAGGTATATAAATTGTCTATAGGGATAAAAAAGTCCAAGAGTGACATTCTTGCAAATATTATTAGGATAATTATATTATCACCACAAAATTTACTTGATACACCACGTTATAATCACACCACAATTAAAACACATTTTTAATAATACACCACAACAAATTTACAGTTATAATCCTACCAAAAATAATCCATTTGGGTCGCACTTCTCGTCTCTCTTAGCTTGTGGAAGAGGAGATTGTCAAGTCTTTGATTTTGATAGCAGGAACCATAGCCTAGTGGAAATAGTAGCTCAGGAAGACAAGATGAATGACAATAAAACGGAAAAATTATGTGAAGAATGGTGAAGCTGACACTATTGAGGCCAAGAAAGAATCTATATTGAGCCCCTATTTGAGACACATTAAAATTTTCATTCTCATTCTTCTACTCATTTTCAACCACACATTTTTCAATAAAATAATATTTTCCATCACATCAATAACATTTCCTTCCTTTTCAACCATATTTTCTCCTTCAATCTACTATTTCAAAATACATTCTTCCAAAATAATGTGGCTCAAACACACCCTGAGATTGCACTCCTCAACTCAGGATGATGGTGAATGTAGGGGTGGGCAAAAAACCGAC